TCGGGGAGCCGCATGGACCGCGCCATCGGCAGCTGGCTGAATCCCGGCCATATCCTGTCGCTCGGCGCCCCAATCATGTTGACAATCAGGCGCATCTGCTCAAACTCGCTCTTGCCTGGCATAAACGGACGATGGACCAAAAGCTCGCCCAAAATGCATCCGGCCGACCACATATCGATTGCTGTCGTGTACTCGGTTGATCCGAGAATGAGCTCTGGCGATCGATACCATAGAGTTGCCACCTGTGGTGTCATCGGCTGCTGAGGCTCGTGAAATAGTCGAGCAAGTCCGAAATCAGCAACCTTGAGCTCGCCGTTTTTTGTCAAAAGCAGATTGGGCAGCTTCAGATCTCTATGCACAACAAAATGGTTGTGACAATACTCCATTCCGCACAGCATCTGCTGCACCAAGCTTTTCACCTCGCCGTGCGAAAACGGTGTCGACATGTTGTCCAACAATGTTCCCAGATCGCATTCGCAGTAGTCCATCACCATGAAAATGCTGTCGATTCCGTGGCCAGCTGCAATGTCCACTACATTAACAATGTTTGGATGGTGCAGGCGCTTGAGGATTGCAATTTCCCGGAAGCTGGAAAGCGGCAAACCAGGTGTATTGTCGCTAATGCTCACTCGCATGCGCTTCAGCGCAACTATTTTTTGACTTTTTTTGTGTCGTCCACGGTATACTATTCCGTAGGTTCCTTCGCCGATCCGGTTGATCTTTTCGTAATCGTTAACATCGATGCACGCGCCAAGGAACCCGTTTTGTGGAATGGTTATTGCTTTGCCTGAGAAATCTATAAACGAAGTCGTTTTCTGGTCCATGTGTTTAAAAAATTTTATTAAATAAATGAATGAATGTTTTTAATATAACTCAATAGCAACAACTCGTTAAGCCAGCAACTTTAACAATATCACTTTAGGTGCATGTAATGACATTTTATGCTAATGGGACAGACGAGTGCTAATGACAAGATGTTTTTTATAATAAAAAAAGCATTGCCACTGATGACTACAAAAACGAGTCAAAATATACTTTAATTGACTTTGTTTCATTATGCAAGCCGCACTAATCATATGAAACAAATACAATTGTATGTGGCATACGCGAACCAAGTGCTGAATATAACAATTATCGGCACAATAAAACCAAGCCTGATTAGGGCCAGAGGTATTGATATTTGCTTGAAGCACTCGATTTCGTATGCATTTCATTTTTAACGGGTGTGATGTTTGCACACGCACATTCGTTTTGTGCAGTTTATATATTGTGCACATTCTGCCTAAAGTGGAAGGTTGAACTACATAGCGATGCGCTGTATCGGCTGCAGAATGGTGTGGAGCCAGTAAAACAGCAGAAACATACATTTTTTGTTTATAACCACGTCTGATCCGAACGGCTGCGCCAGTTGTTAGCGTACCCAAAAAAATTGTGGAAAAAGTCCAAGACATATTAATAATGACCTGTATACATCTTAGAAACATAAACTCAGCGTACTTGGTTAACTCAGTTAATAGTCAATCAGCTCAGGCTGTTGTAGTATAGTGGTTAGTACTCCACGTTGTGGCCGTGGTGACCCTGGTTCGATTCCAGGCAACAGCACATTATTTTTGCACTTTTTAGCACTGGATTGCTGAGGTTTTTTTGCATTTTTATTGCGATTGCCCACGCAAAATGTCAAATTGCACATCGTTAACTCCGTATGGTTCCATGTGTATTGATGTTTGGTTACATTTATCTTTATTTTATACTTTTAAAATATATGCAATTTTTTTTGCTATATACATACCCACCAGTTGTAACAAATTAAAAGTATATGTCAACAACTGGTGCTAGTATGTATGTCATTCTGCGGCCAACTGGACTCTGGCTTTAAATATCCAACAACTGCCGGTACCTTGCGCCCCAACTGCTCGGTATAAATGTACTAGCGCGAAAGTGTCTGGATTTTGGTTATCAACCATAACAAAAATGTGGTTTGGCACATTCACATGACGAACCACATTTAGGTACAGCAAAGTTATTGTGTCAATATCTCCGGGAACTGCAGGAGTGTCAGTGTGCCGGTGTAAAGACACCTATGAATATTGAATAGAAAGACCCCGCTGCGGATTGACTCAACGCAAACAGTAACTATTACCTTGCGCGAACTGTCTAATACACGGCGAATGTGGTCAAAATATATTTCGCTGAAAAAACTAGTTCTGAACTAGTCCAAGTATACCTTGGTGCATCTGTGAATCCGAAGTGGCGATTTGTGTTGAGCTACCACTTCTGAGAAACTTGAGATAATATCGCCAATATACCGTTTTTCTAGAATCTGTGGGAACCCATCTATATTTCTAAAGAACATTTGGGCCAGGACAGTTGGGCCAGCTAGCGGCAAGAACAACCGCATAATTATTTATATGAGCACTCAGAAATGTGTTCGGTATTTGCTGAAATATTCCCAGTTGTTTTAAAAAAGTGCAAGAACCAGATAAATTTAAATTTTGCAGTAATACACATATTTTGCGTCTTAAATTGAAATACAATAAATAATATACTATTTATAATAATGTTTGCACGACTCAATTATATTACGGAGTTAACGATGTGCAATTTGACATTTTGCGTGGGCAATCGCAATAAAAATGCAAAAAAACCTCAGCAATCCAGTGCTAAAAAGTGCAAAAATAATGTGCTGTTGCCTGGAATCGAACCAGGGTCACCACGGCCACAACGTGGAGTACTAACCACTATACTACAACAGCCTGAGCTGATTGACTATTAACTGAGTTAACCAAGTACGCTGAGTTTATGTTTCTAAGATGTATACAGGTCATTATTAATATGTCTTGGACTTTTTCCACAATTTTTTTGGGTACGCTAACAACTGGCGCAGCCGTTCGGATCAGACGTGGTTATAAACAAAAATGTATGTTTCTGCTGTTTTACTGGCTCCACACCATTCTGCAGCCGATACAGCGCACCGCTATGTAGTTCAACCTTCCACTTTAGGCAGAATGTGCACAATATATAAACTGCACAAAACGAATGTGCGTGTGCAAACATCACACCCGTTAAAAATGAAATGCATACGAAATCGAGTGCTTCAAGCAAATATCAATACCTCTGGCCCTAATCAGGCTTGGTTTTATTGTGCCGATAATTGTTATATTCAGCACTTGGTTCGCATATGCCACATACGATTACACCTGTGTCAGTCTGTCATATTAGTATTTCTAGTCGTGTCCAAGCTAACAATGTAATCGCTTTCTATTTCCATTTCAATGTTGCCTCTAAGCTTTTAATTTTATAGCTGGTCAATTGCTTTTTTGTATATCGCATGTATTATATTTGTTGACACTCTTCAAAACTTGTTAACATCAATCTTAGACACTCTAAGCATAGTGTAGCGGTTCCGGTGGTATGTTGTTTTGTGGTGAGCCGTGCGCTGCTTCTTTTTCGTAACAGTGAACAGCTTGCCGTCCGGGTGCTCAATCACCGTTGCCTCAATTTTAAATAGACTGGGGTCGACCATGGGTTGTCCCTTAATCGTGTAGTCATGCGATCCAAGCTCTGTAACCTGGTTAAGTGACAGCGAGTCACCAAGCTCCAAGTCCTTGATGCGATCCATCACGATAATATCATTCTGGGTAACTGTAAACGGGCGGCCCTTAATAACAACAGTCGCATAATACTTTTGCTGCTCGCGCAGACGGTTCACAAGCTCAATAGAGTTGGCAGACCAGCTTGCGGCGGTCGCAGTCTTTGCTGCCTCTGTCTGTGTAGTGTAAAGAGCGCGGACCGAGATTCGTGTAAATGCGGTCGCCGTCTTAAGGCTGTTGAACGTGCGCGAGATTCCTGCAAATGCCATGTCTTTATGCTTGTCAGTCTGTTGCTTCAAATGATGCGTATGAGAGTAAAAAAATGCGACAATTAACGGCAAATTGAAACAAGAAAAATAAACTTCTCCAATTTTTTTCGTTGCTACAAAAAAATAAGATAGGCTCTGTGAGATATGTTCTAAGCGAATTGTTTCCATCCACTTGTAAGCCCAGTTGTGATTAAGCCGCAATCGCGATCACGGCAATTACGCGCTGATCAGTATAATTGGCTCTGAGTGGCTCTCGCCAGATTCCATTATCAGTTGTTTGCGGCAAATTTTGAAGTGGGGAAAGGAGGTGCCCGGTTTTCCCGCCATTGCGGCATCTTTTTTAGCATGGGCAGCCTACAAATTTCTTTATCGCGAAGGAGGAAGCAGAGCTATTCTAGTCCTTTCCCCCTGCTTCACTTTTTTCTTTCTTCTTCGCTATTTAACTAGTTTTATTTTTATTTAGAAAAGTATAACAAGGCACCGATTACAGCCTGCCAATTTAACATAATGCTGAAGAACGTTTCCCGCCTTGCTTCCGCCACTCGCGTTCCCGTCGCTCGCGCCATGGTATGTATTTTTATTGCACTATTTATAACACAAAGACGCAATCAGAATTTAGTGCAAAAAAAGTGCTCGCACTGCTACTTGAATTCAACAGATCTAGAACTTTGTTGTCGTAAATTCAAGACCCGGCAGTCAACATGAAATCCAGCTTATCTTGTGCAGCTAGATTCGACAACGCCAATCGAGATAAATTAGCGGTGACTGCTCTTTCCTAAAGTTGCTTATCTATGTCCCACACACTTTTTCTCATATATACACTCAATTATTTATTGTTTGTTTTGGCACTGTCTATTAAATTCCAAGAGCCTATTTGTTTTTTATTGCACTTTAGGTTCGCGCCGCCACCCCCGCTGTGGTCCGCGCCTTTTCGGCCTCGGCCTCCGTCAGCGCTGGTGCCAAGCCCGCTGCCTCCGAGGTTACCTCGATCCTCGAGGACCGCATTCTGGGCGCCGCCAACAAGGTCGACCTCCAGGAGACCGGTCGCGTTCTGTCCGTTGGTGACGGTATTGCTCGCGTCTACGGCCTGAAGAACATCCAGGCTGAGGAGATGGTTGAGTTCTCGAGCGGTGTTCAGGGTATGGCTCTTAACCTTGAGGCTGACAACGTTGGTATTGTCATTTTCGGTAACGATCGTCTCATCAAGGAGGGTGACACTGTCAAGCGTACCGGCTGCATTGTCGATGTCCCTGTCGGTGAGGCCCTTCTTGGCCGTGTTGTTGATGCTCTCGGCAACCCCATTGACGGCAAGGGTCC